CAAGGAAAGGAAGTGGTGGGAAGGAGTTGAGGTGCATGTACACCACTTCCTTTCCTTGGAGTTCCCAGCCTCCTCCTTCCTCCCATCCTCCCTGATACTGGCCCCTCTCTGTAGGAGTCCTGTCAGTCCTTGCAGTATCTCTAAAACCCTGCTCCCAGAGCCGTGATCCTCCCCCCACACTTGTCCAGTGGATACACGTTACTGGGGGGCCTGAACCCCCCCCCCCGGCTCAGTTTAAAGTCTTCCGGATGAAGCTCGCTAGAGCATCTCCAAAGGACCTTTTCCCCATCCTCGTGAGGTGTAACCTATCCCTTGCCAGAAGTCCATTGGGAAGAAAACGAGTGCCGTGGTCGAGGAACCCGAAGCGTTCCTTCGGGAACCACACCCTAAGCCAGTCGTTCACCTCGGAGGTCCTCCTGTCCCTTCCTGGCCCAAATCCCCGGACAGGTAAGATTGACGAGAAGGCCACTTGGGCCTTCAGCTCCCTGAGTTTCTTCCCCAAGGCCTCAAAGTCCCTGGTGGTCCCAGCCACACCCTGCCTGGCCACATCGTTTGTGCCCACATGGATCACCAGGAGTGGCTGGTGACCCCCGGAGTGAACAAGATGCTTCACTCTGTCCTTCACATGCCAGATGCATGCGCCTGGCAGGCAGCAAACCTCCCTTTTCTGCAGGGGTGGGGTGGCACACTGCCGTCTCAGTGCCCCTCAGCAGAGAGTCCCCAACAACAATCACCCGCCGCCATACCTTCCCTGTACTGGTGGGCGGCCGTGCCCTGGCCCTTGCCTCTCCTGCAGTGGCCCCCTTGCCGCCTGACGTCCCAGGCTGGGGGTCCTGCTGGTCCCCCGAGGCCTCATCAGCCCCAGCTTCCCCAAGTGGAGAGAACCTGTTTCCCAGCTCCAGATTGGTGCCAGGAGAAGGAGGAGGCCGTGCTGGCCTCCTCCTCCTGTGGGTGACATACCTCCATGTCTCCGCAGCTGCTCCTCCTGTGGTCTCTCCCTCAACCCTCTGTCCAGGGGGGGGCTGCTCCGGGGGGGGGGCCTGGAGAGCTCTCTCGGCCCTCAGGCACCTCACCTCCTCTTCTAGCAGGGTCACCATCTTGCACCGAGGGCAAGTGTATCCCTGCCTCTCCTGGGGGAGAAGGGCGAACATGTCACAGCTCTTGCAGCAGACAGCAACACCCGTGACTCCTGCCAAGGCCATCTCCTGGTCAGCCACTGGGATCCCTTCCGAGACCTTAACTTGGTGCCCTGCCTTGTTTGTCCTGAAGTTCCTCTCACTCGCCCAGTTCTCCCGGACAAAAACCCACTCGCACACACACACAAGGATAAAATAAACTTAAATTTATAAAATAAACTTAAATTTATAAAATAAACTTAAATTTAAATTGGAGGAAAAACAAAGCACAGCACAACACAAACAAAACAAACAAGCAAGCAAACCTGTGTGTCTCAGGGAAGGGAGTCTCCGGACAGCCCTGGCTGCAGTTAAGGGACACAGACAAGGGACGACGCCCCACCCCTCGGCCTCCTCCTGGCTGTTCTAGCCTCTCTGGCCCCGCCCCCTTCCTCTCTGCTCCCCTGCCCAGCTCCTACGTTGCCTTTGCCAGTCCCTGGCCACTCAGCACTCTCTCCCAGCCTGTGCCTCTGCTGCTCTGCCAAGAGGCCAGAGCCAAAGGGGGGCGGGGGGGGGACATTTATTCATAGAGTTGCCATGAGGCAGAGATGTCATAGTAGCAAAAACTGTGTATTTTAAATATATGAACTGCTTAGATTTTAATAAACCATAAAAACTATTAAAATAACTTTTATTTATTACTTTATTTATCCTCAATCAACATAAGCATTAATTTTAGTTTTTTTTTTATCAAATGAAAACAGTCTAATGATTGTTGCTTCCTTGAAATTCTGGACTTTTAGTTTCCCTAACTAAACACTAAATAAGATTGGGCTAAGTAAGGCAGAAAGGATAGTTAAAGCAGAAAGACGATATAGTATATAAAAGTAGATATTTAAAATAAATCTACTTTTTTAAAGTTGTAACTATCCAACCTTATTTTGATCTACTAGTCATGGGAATTCTGTTTTAGTTGGTCCTTCATTCTTGTAAGTGCAAGTCTAAGCCAAGGCAGAGGGTAGGAGAAGAGACTGGAAAGAAAAGGTGATGAAAACGTTCCATGTACATAATCTTTTGTTCTTATAATGTGGCTGCAGTCCTATATCCACTTACCTGGGAGTAAGCCCTATGTAACTCAGTGGAACTTTCTTTTGAGGAGATATGAGTAGGATTGTGCTGTTAATCTCAAACAGTCATGGGTAGTAATGATAAGAAACAGCATATATTGAAATATAAAGACATTTCCACTAAAGGTTAAAAAAGAAACAAATGTAAAATACCTACAGTGAAATAAAGAGATGCAAAATGTGCTTGGTAGAATGAAACAGTATTAGTAATAGTCAAGTTGTAAATTAACCTGGCTTAATTATCAGGTTTTACCAGGAAATATATGGAAATGTTTCAGTGAGAACCTTGATTTATAGCAATCTTGCTGATTTCAGTCTCCTTCATTTAAACAGCGGGTGGGCAGCTTCCATCCCATGTGCCTAATCCACCCTATGGAAGCTTGGTCTCCTCCTGTTCCCCTTCCAAAGACCAATTTGATGGCTGAGGCCTTGGGAAGAGGGAAGCAGAAGAAATTCCTTGTTTCTGATATTTGATAACACTGGGATTTTCCTGGGGAGTGGTGGTTGTTCACTTGCCCAGGGCTTGTAGGAGCTCATGAAAGTAGCAGATGAGCAAACCAGGCTGAGCAGCTTTGTTTGCCCTGCATTCTGTGTACAGTGGCAGAAGATGTGGGGCAAGTGCAGTTAAGCAGGGTGGGAACCAGCTGACACTGTGGGGAGGGAGCAGTGTTCCTACACTTCGAATTGTTTCTAGGGATTTTCTTATTCAGGAGAGTTAATGAAAATAAGTTATGATTTATAGAAATGCTTTTCTTCCAAAGTTTCCTTTCAGATTTCCAAAAATAATTTAATCATCACAAGGCACCCATCAGATTTGTGTTTATGTGTGGGAGAGGCAGAGTTACTTTTATCTATTCATACTTCCAACACAAACCAAAATGTTCAAAACTAGAGTGGTTTTAGTTTTGATAGGTTTTTCAGAAAGCAACAAATTTGAAAGTTTTCAGAGAAGAGGCTGATCCCATATCCTGTTCCATCAGCTTCTTGGTAAATCCTTTAAAGTACTATGAAGCATCACTATTAAAATCTGAATCAAAATGCACTGTGAAAATACAAAATTTCAAGCTTGTAATTTTCCTGTATTTGTCTCAGTTCCTACACTCTTTATTGTACTATTACCTATTTATTTCTAGGCTTAGGGGAAAAAACTAATGGAACATTCCATAAAGTACTATTAAAATGTGTTCTATCTTAAATTTTCCACAGCTAAATGTAAAGATTTATGATAAGAAAAGAGACTCATGAATATATTATCTTTCAGGTATTACCTGGAAAATGGATGACGATGACTTTGGAGGATTTGAGGTATGGAGCTTTAAATAGTGATGTGTTTATCAGGGTTGCGCTGAACTAATTCACCTTATATCATTTAAATTCTGTGGTTCATTTCATGTACCTGAAAAGTATGCTGCTGAAAGCAGAATTAGGTGTCTTATAATGTTCATTCTTATTTAACTGATGTACTTACCAATCGTTACTTGTTTTTTGGTGCCAGGCGAAGACCTTTTTATTCAAACACTATTTTAATTGTTAATATTATTTATTTATTTATTTTTCGGGCCAGGTTGACTCATATTATACTGTTTTATTCTGTCCTTATTTATTATTGTGAGCCGCCCCGAGGCTTCGGCGAATGGGTCGGCATAGAAGCCTTCTAAATAAATAAATAAACAACCATGATTAAATCACTAATTTCTGCACCCTTTCCTTTTGTTGCATCCTCCCTTCTACAACAGGCCTAGAATACGTTTTGCCAACAATGGATTGCAGAATGGCTCCATGCACTAGAAAGCGGCAAAGCAGCTCATCTGGAGGCTGCCTTTGCTACTTGTGAGGTCCTTTGCTCCCATATCAGTTAGATCTGGGAGAGCAAGAAGTGGTTTCAGAATACAGACATCATCCTAGTTGAGGACCTCACTCTTTGTTTACAGAGGAGGGCATTATAATTGCAAGTGTTTTGGGTATAACATGTTAACATTTAGGGTTTAACATGCTCACATTCATATACTCACTGCCTCTGACTATGTCACTGTAGTTGGAAAAGGCATTATCATAGAATTAGGTCAGGTCCAACCCCCTGCTAATGTAGGACACCACGTTAAACCATCCCTCTCAGAGAACTATCCAGTTGCATCTTGAATGTCTGTAGTGTGGGAGAGCCTACAACCTCCCTAGGTAATTCTCAAGAAGTGGGCAAAACAGTGCTGGTGGTCTTTGGAATGGGTTTTAACAAAGTCTTGGTCATTACCATTGGTGGATGGTTAAATGTTATTACCTGGCATAGACTTGTTTGCATTTATTTAAGGTTTTTATAGACTGTTCTCTCATCACATGCAATCAGAATGGTTTACAATATTTACAAACAACGGGTCCATGAAATCTGTATCCAAATAATCACAAAAATAGAAGGGAATAATGATTATCAACAAGAAAATAAAACAACAAATAACATATTGAACCAGAGCAATCAGTCATCATTTGGATAAAAACCAGTATAAAATCATGTCTTCTAATCAACAATGAAAGTGATTGGATAATAAAGAGTTTGACCTGCCATCGAAATGTGTAAAGTGTCAGTGCCAGGTACATCTCTTTGAGAAACTGGTTCCATAAATGGGATGCCGCTACTGAAAAGGCCCTTCCTCACATAGCAACCTTCCTTGCTTCCTTTAAAGGTGGCTCTCAGAGAAGGACCTCCTTGATAGTCTTAGCATCTGTGAAGGTTCTTACAGAAAGAGGCATTCTATAAGATATCCAGAACCTAAGCTGCTTACGACTTTATTTGTTAATATGAGCAACTTGGTCCTGGACTTCAGTTGGTAACCAGTACAGTTGATAAAGAACAGGGCTTATATGCTCGTATCGGCCTGTCTTGGTCAACAGATGGGCTGCCCTATTCTCTACCAACTGAAGTTTCCAGACTGTTTGCAAGGGCAGCCTCATGTAAAGTGCACTGCAGTAAGCTAGAAGTGAGGTTACCAGCACTTTTGCTAGGTGTTGCCCATCCAGATAGGGATGCAGTTTATATATCAGCCGCAGTTGATAAAAGGTGCTCCTTTGAATATTTAACAGTATATAAATAGTACAGATAAAGTAATTAGCAAATTATAAGTCACTGTAAAAGGATTGATTATGTTAATACGAACAGGGCATGCTTTTTGAAAGCCCATGCCTTAACTTTAACAATCTGCCTTGCATTTTCAGGCAGCAGAAACCTTTGAGGATGGAAATGGTGAGCGAACTACCTCTCCTGCTATTCCGTGGGCAGCATTTTCCACAGGTAGAGAGATTTAGCAAACTTCAATATTTGTTTGTGAGCTCAGATATTATTTCACCAGTTCAAAGTGGTGCATCCAGAATATGACCATGGCTTTTGTGCTGTTTATGTGCTACCATAAGGAATGAGCCTTGAGAAATATAAATTAGTGATTCATGTCTTCATCATCACAATTCAGTGCTAATATGCAGCCCTATTAATTGTACAGGAGGGGCAGGGAAGTTTTATGTTCTGGATTGCCACCCTTGACTTCCCAGTTGGCTGAATGACATCAGAGGTGGAGGCACAACCTGGAGAAAGTGCCTCCAACCACAGTTGGAGATCTTGGTCTGTGCTACATGTTCTTTTCCTATCTAGGGAAAGCCTAACTCAAAGTGGAATGAAACCATCCTCTGATTGAGGTGCAGGCTTTGCTTACCGCATGGAATCATGACAAAAGATTGGTTTTCATACCTGCATTCCTTTCTGGGCATCCTGCAGGCCAGGTGGACTGTGCTGGCAAACAAGATTTATCCTGTGAGTGTGTGGTTTGCCATTCATGCTGTAAAGTTACATTTAGTACATATATTTTTGTGTAGATTTGGAACTGTTGAAGAAATCTCATGCCCATGGTAAAAATTCACAACATTCTAAAGCTTAGTACTTTTTCATTTCAGCCCAAAGTAATGTACCTTTTAGAAAGCTTGAAGACTCAATTTTTTTATACAGAAAAAAATACTGTTTGACTTAAACTTCTTAATTGTAACAAACAAGATGTGACAGAATCTGAGGCTTTATGCCACCAAAATACTATTGTCCCTGGTACTGAAAACTATCCGGGAATATTAGCAGGGTCACACTATCTTTGTTGAGGCTATGACAACCAGAGTGGTCTTGGAGGCAAACCTTAGCTGAGGCCACCCGTGTTTCTGAAACCGCTTCAGTGCAGTGGAAGAGAAAGCGTCTTCCTGGCTCATTTAGCAATATAGATACGTTCTTCCTCTCCTCTCCATCTGATTCTATGCAGTTTTCAGATCTGACTACATGGCACTGTGACATCATCATGGTTACCCTGTATTTCCTGATTGGCTCTGGTGAACAGAGAGCAGAAAATTGCCACAAGTGGCTTCAAAATAAGTAGTATGCAGGGCGGGTATGAGCATTTGCTCTCCTTAAATGTATCACTTTCATATCAAAAGCACTTTTGAAGAAGCATTCTATGCAACTCTGTTACTTTATAGTTTAAATTGGGCATGGTAAACAAGGTAAATTCTTTAGTGTGGCATAGACACAATTTTGATAGGTTCACAAGCAACTTAACATTATAAAGTGATTTGAACCACTCCCTTTCTTATATTTAGACTGTTTATATTTGTGCATGTAATCCTGTCCTTATGTAATCATGATCTCTTGCTGCATGTCCTGTTTCTCACCAGGTTCACTTGTGGGGAGGCTTTAACTGATACTGATGGGGATCACTGCTGCTAATACCCTGCTGCTAATAGCTTTCCTCTTCCCATTGTGATCACATGTATGTCTGTGCTGTGTGTTATGGGCTCTCTCACCAGCACACCCACTTGTATCGCCCCTGAAGAATCCTGTGGCAGCCAACATGCTCCCCACCTCCAAAAAGTTGCTTACTCCTACTGTACAGGCTTTAGATTTCAGCAAGTTAGAGATTTGTAATAGACATTTTGTAATAGACTTTGTCATGCTAACTGATGCGTGTATGTACACACATGTGTATCTCTGTATATTTGTATCTGTTATCTTCCCAGTCCACATCATCATCTTATGCATCTGACTGTACAGATACTTGCTTATGAAATTTCTTAGTCATTAAGGTACCACAAGGTTGTTCATTGGGTTGTGCAACTGTTTTTATTATATATTTAAGATGGTGGAGCATCTGAATATTTCTGTAGACACAGAGTTCTGACTGGATAGCTCAGTAACATGGTGCATCTTTATTATGTGAACTTATTTTGTAATTTACATTGACTTGGACATCAAGGATCTCACAGTTCTTTAGCTATTGTTTAATAAGCAATCTTTTCTTTTTATTATTACCAACACGTGCCCTTATTTTTCCCTGGAAATATTGCAAAAACAGGTTATTAAATCACACACAGTTCAGTGTATTTTTGGTAGTCTTTGGGAATATTTGGGTGCTGGGGGACTATAGCTCTGTGCCATGGCAGCTTTGCCATGGAGTTCCGCAGGGCTGTATTTTGTCCCCCATGCTATTTAACATCTACATGAAACCGCTGGGAGAGGTCATCAGGAGGTTTGGGCTGCGGAGTCATCAGTATGCTGATGACACTCAGCTCTACCTCTCATTTACATCTGCTCCAGGTGAGGTGGTGGCTGCACTGAACCGGTGCCTGGCCAAGGTAATGTGCTGGATGAGGGCTAATAAACTGAGCCTCAGTCCAGATAAGATGGAAGTCCTGTTGGTGAGCAGTGTGGGTCTCCAGGTAGATGATTTTGACCCAGTTCTGGATGGAGTAGCACTCCCTCTAAAGGACAGGGTCCATAGCTTGGGAGTACTCCTTGACCCAGAGCTGCCACTGGAGTTCCAGGTGGCAGCAGTGGCAAAGGAGTGCTTTCCTACAACTTCGACTGATCCATCAGCTGCATCCTTACCTGGATGAGCACTCCCTAGCAACAGTGATTCATGCTTTGGTAACTTCCTGCTTGGATTACTGCAATGCGCTCTATGTGGGGCTGCCCTTGAAAATGGTCTGGATACTGCAACTGGTGCAGAATAGAGCTGCCAGGCTGCTGACAGGGACTGGTTGTTATTTTCACATAACACCGGTCCTCTACCAGCTCCACTGCCTTCCAGTTGAAGTCCAGGCCCAATTCAAGGTGCTGGTTTTGATCTATAAAGCCCTAAATGGCTTGGGACCAGGATACCTGAAGGAATGTCTCCTTCCTTACATGCCCTCACGCCCCTTAAGATCTGTGGGAGAAGTCCTGCTCCAGGAACCCTCTCTAAGAGAGGTAAAAAGGTCATCAACTCGGAGTAGGGCCTTCTTTGCTGTGGCTGTTGTTCTTCTCTGCTGTTGTTTAATTGTCCTTTTAAAAATTGTAAGCCGTCCTGAGATCTTGTATAATAGGATGGCATACAAAAGCTTTAAATAAATAAATAAATAAATACATTTACAGGCTTGCTTAAATTGATTGACATTTTATGGTTACAAAGTCCAGTTTTATGCAAATTTGCAGTTATGATGATACATAATTGGAAGGAACCTCATTCAATTCTGTAAGTTTATTTTTAAGTAAATGATGTCTACATTATTTCAGTTGGAATCATTAGGAATTGGATGCCATTGGCTGGGTATTAAGTACAAATGGTTTCGTTAGACTGGCTTACCTGAATGAGAGTTAGCAAGAATTGATTTATATTGGTATGTCTTATGCGCTTTATGGGTAAAATAGCTGACAAAAAGCTGATTCTAAACATCAGAATAACATGCCCACATGTTTCTCCAGTATACAGTCAGCAAATTGGTTATCTGAAAAAACTGTGGGTAGCAGGGGGACAAAATTGGCATAAACATGTGTAAAAGTTAAAATAGATTTTTCCAGAACTAGAGTTAGATGCACTTGAGAATCACCATTTCATTCTTTAGTAGATTATCAAACCAACATGGTAATATTCTCAGCATACTTCATTTTCAGATGATGGGATAGTTTTGACCACATCACTGTTTGGACACAGAGTGAAATTGCATTCAAGCTTTTCTGTTCCAGAAACTCCTTGTATAGCCTCAGTTCTATAATCCCAGACTAATTGGGATCTATTTCTCAGTTTTCTGCTACAGCAAAATTCAGTTCTTCAATTGACAGAGTGGGTGCCCTGGTCACCCTTTCCTTGAATCTTTGGCCAGCCCCAGGACTACAGTGCAGCAGATTTAGTGGCTTCTTGGGCTTATGGCAGCAATGGTCATAGTTGTCTGTCTTGCCAAACTTACTCATAGATGCTTCCACTTCAGATATGGTTCGTTCATGCCTGCTGACCTCAGCAATATTCAGAATGGAAGTGACTCACCATCTCCCATTCAGTGTGATTGTGTTTGGCCTAGTGGGCACAATGAGGGAATCTTTAGTGGAGGGGATCTTCTTCTCACCGCTGGAGCTGGCTAATTCACTGACAACAGATGATTCACTTAATTGATGGGGGTGGGACCAGTAAGACCCACTGTGTGTGGACTAACTGTAACCAGAAGAAGTACAGAGATTACCTTGAGTTTCTTGCTGTGCAGAAAGCCCTGGTCACTTTCCTGCCTAGCCTTTGGGACCAACTGATCCAGATTACCATAGATAACACCTTTGTGATGTTTTACCTGAACAAGCAGGGAGGCACCTGGTTCATGATGGCATGCCTCACTATTTGGATGTAGGACTATTGCATAGCGTGGGGCATCACTCTTGTCACTGTACACCTGATTGGGACAACCAACTTTACAGCGGTCTTCCTGAGCAGGAGGACCAGTGGAATCAATGAATGGGAGAGGGATCCTGTGGGCCTTGCAGACTTGTTCCACACTTGGGGCTTGCCAGCTATTGACAACTTTGCTGCCACAAGCAATGTAGCCTGCAACTGCTTCTGTTCTCAGGCAGCAATCTGCTCAGACTTGATGGGAGTTGCATTCTTTCTCCAATGGAATGGGATGCTGTTTTACCTCTCCTCCCCCCATTCCCACTCATCACCAGAGTGCTTGCGAAGATTCACAGAGACCGGACCTCTTGTATCCTGATCACCTCATGGTGGCCTCTGCAGGCTTGATGTGCGCACATCCTCTGCCTATCACACAGGACTTTTCTGCAGCTTCCATTGAAGCCAGACATCATCTTCCAGGACCGAGGGATAAATTTCATCCCGATGTCACCATGCTGCACCTGACAGCATGCCAAATCATCCAGTAAATGTATGTGTATGATTCTATGATTATTGCTGTCAACTG